AAATACCAGCAAGGATGTGAGGGAAAAGGAGGGATGGAAGTTAATACAGCCACTATGAAATTCCATGTGGAAATTTCTGGAAAAAGTAAAAATTTCTAGGAATGCATCAAGTACCAAAAATGACTCAAGAAGAAACACAAAATCTATACAGACTTTTCATACATAAAGAAGTTAAATTCAATACCATGAGACTAACAGGAGAAATAAATAAAAACAAAGTCTAAACGTGGGGGATAGAAGACTAGTTAATCCTAGAATTATTAAAATAATAATAATAATAACAACAATCCAGCTCAAAGTCTTAGGAGGAAAGAAAAGGGAGGGGAAGGGAGGGGAGGAGATGGTCGGAGGGACTTCTTAAGCCACTGTATGAGATCACTACAACTCCTACACCAAAACCAAACAAAGCATAAGAAAATCACATACTATTTATAAATATAAACACTGAAATCTTCCACAAAATGTTACAGAACTCATCTAGCAGCATATTAAGATGATTATTCCATGTACTCTGGCAACTGTTTCTGTGTATATTCCCAAAAGAAAGCCAGGATTTGGATCTAAGGTTTGTGTCTCTGTGGGCATAGGAGCCTTATTCATAACTGCCCATGGGTGGAATCAACCCGCCAGTCCACAGACAGAGGAAAAGACAAACAAATGTGGACTATTCATACACTTAGCCTTGAAAGAGGGAAAACAATCTAGCACATGATCCAACCAAAGTCCTAGCCAGGACAATTAGGCAAGAAATACAAAGTATACCTAAACTGGACCAAAATAAAATGGGAAAACATCTCCTGCTCTGGATACTGTCAAGGCAGCAACAATGCCCGCATCCATTCACAAAACATCACCTCTCTATCACAACCCCATCCGCCTCTTCTACAGAAGTGGGAAAGCCAACTTTAAATCCACATGGAGTCAGCGGAGGCTGACAACAGAAAAAATATTGAAAAGAGAACAAAGGAGACTTACATTTTCTGATTCCAAAATGTACTGAAAAGCAGCAGCAATCACAACAAGATGGTACAGGCAGAAGGACGGCCAAAGAAAGGAAAGAAGCGGAACTGAGAAAGGAGAGACAGATTAACCCACGTACTAAAAATCATCAACTATCACATCAAGACCCAGGGGTCAGGACCATTCAAGAGAGAAACAAGGTCTTCAGTGAACAGTGTTGAAACAACTGGATAGGCAAATACAGGGGGAAAGCTGCATCCACCCCATCAGTCAACAATAGCTACCCCAATTAACTAAAACCTTAAGAACAAAGCTGGTAAGCTTAAAACTAACAGAGTCTTATCTATGACAGCCAAAGCATGGCCAACCAAAGAAACAATTAGACTTTACTAACATTTAAAACTCTATATGGGACATTAACATAAGAAGAAAACAAGCCAGAGGACAGTAGAAAAGACTTCATATATAGCTAACTAAAGGTATCCAAAATCTGTTACAATTTAACAGCAAAAAGAAACAGCTGAATGCTAAAGTGGGCAAAGAACTGGAGGATGGATTCCTTTTTCTTTTTTTTTTTAATTACACTCATGATATTCATTAATTACACTCATGATATTCATTAATTACACTCATGATATTAATTACATTTGTGGTATTCATTGATTACATTCGCAGTACCCATTCAATAATTACATTTATGACAATAATTACATTAATTTTATTGATTTATTACATTCATGATATTATGTTCTCATACTACTGTCCATTTGTGGGGCTTTTCCATCACACAAAACAGAGATTCTGTACTTAGGAAATCATTGCTCTAGATTCCTTTCTTATCCATCTTGAGATAACATCTAATCTTTCTGTCTCTATAAATTTCTACATTCTACATATTTCATGTAATGGAGGATAGATTTCTACAAAGGAAACATGACAAAGGCCAACAGGCATCTGAGTGGACACTCTTGGCAGTACTGGTACTAGAGAAATGAAAACTGTTACTTCATCCACAATGGCTATAACATAACATAATAATAATTAACAGCGTATGCTAACAAGAGCAGAAAAATCAGAACCCTTACAGATCAATGTTGTTACCAACGAAAAGGAAAATTCAGCAATGCCTCAAAACGTTAGAAGTGGAATTAGAGGATAACAACAACTTTACTCTCAGGCTCTTACCTATGAGAACTGGACACGGGCACTCAAACAAGGATTGCCCTCAAATGATAGCACCAACAGCCAAAAGACAGAACGACCCAAATGCTCATGCAGAGCTAATGGATAAAGAAAGTATGGTACATCCACAGAAAAGTGAAGTGCTGTTATATATAATATGCAGATAATATATATTATACACAAGTACAAAAACACGTTAAATGAAAGATGCTAGACCTGAAAGATCACATGCTGTGTGATCCCACTTACATGGAATATATAGAACACGTCCATCTGTAAAGACCAAAAGCAGACTGAGAGCCATCAAGTGCTTGGAGAAAGGCACAGTGGAGGACCAAGTTTTCTTTGTGATTAACTTTTACTGATGTGTCTATGTCTTACGTGTTTATGTGCATATGAGTACACGTGCTCACAGAGGCCAGAAGAGGGATCAGATCCCCCAGAGCTGGAGTTACAAACAGTTGTGAGCTACCTGATGTGGGTGCTGAGAACTGAACTCACATCCTCTGTAAGAGTAGGAAGCATTCCTAAACACTGAGCCATCTTTTCAGCCCTCTAAGTTTTCTTTAGGATGAGAAAATGCTTTTCAGCTTGATAGAGGCAGTAGTTATATGAAGAGAACGTAAATTTCATGAAATTATGTACATATCCTGAAGGCAGATGAGGAGAAACAGGACTGACAGGAGACAATGTATTAACTAACTATAAAATGATTTTGTTTTCTTATTTTAGCCAAAAAGCTCGCAAATAATTTTTTCTGGCTATAAAAATCACCCAAGGACTGGAGAGGTAGCTTAGCAGTTAAGAGCAGGTGTTGCCTAAGACCTGGGTTTGATTCCTGGTACCCCCATGGTTGGCTTTAACCTCCGTTCCAGGGTATGGGCACACATGTATTATACATTAAGGCATGCTTGCAAAATATTCATACATATAAAGTAAAATAATTCTTTTCAATCATCTAAGCCAGTTGTGGTGACACATGCCTGTAATCCCACCACTTAGGAGGCTGAGACAGAATTGTGAGCTTCAGGCCAGCTTGAGTACGATTGTGTGTGAAAATAAAAACAAGGGGCCAGGGAGATGGTTCCGTCAGTAGAGAGCTTGCCACATAACCACGAGGCCGAGTTCAGATCCTGGTACTGACGTAAAGGCCCGGTGCAGGGGCATGGGTTTGCTAACACCAGCACTAGTGGGACAGGATCCGTGGGGCTTGCTGGTCAGCCAGCCTCCCCTTCCCCCTCCCCGGAATCTGGGAGCACCAGGTTTAACGAGAGACCTTGCTAAAAAAAATAAAATAAAATAAAAATAAAAATACGGTAGAAAGTGACGGAGGAAGACACGGGCATCTACCTCTGGCCTCCACATGGATGCACACACGCGTGCACGTACATCCCCACATCTACAAGCAACAAGGTAACACGGAAACACTGAAATGAAAAGCTGCGGGCAGGCTTTAGCCCACTCTGCCTGTCAGGCAAGGAAAAAAATAATTTAACTCTTCTAGTCTTCAGTGTCTGTAACTATAAAATAACCACTAAAAACACTAATGAAACATGAATGCTTATGAACACATGCATGTGCAGAGAATCCTGTCTCACAGTCAGCATTGCCGTTCAAATGCTG